GACCCTTCCCCCCCCCCCCGCAGTAGTGGGACTCAAACTCAGGATCTTGCACTTACCAGGCAGGCTCAGTGCTTCTGAGCTACTTCCCCAGCCCTGGGCTACATAGTTCAATGCATGCATAAACAAGACCCTTACATAACAAGATCCTGTCTCCAAAAAAAGTATTTTTCTTTCTTTCTTTTTTTTTCCATTCATTCCCACACTGAAGTAGTTTTGTTTAGATTTTGTGTTTTTTTGTTTGTCTAGTAGGTAGGGTGTAACTTGTTCTGGGTCTCTTTTAGCCTCATATGCTAGATTCTCATATAATTCTATTCCCTAAAAAATGTGTGAAAATTGACAAACTGTTATTAATGTTTTTCTAGAAGAAAACTGGAAAGCTGAAGACTTTTTAATGAAATTCAAGGAACACCAAGATAAGTATTCTAGATCAGTTGTATGCATTAACCACAAAAAACTAATAAAAGAGAAGAGTAATGTATATGAAAAGACATTTACCCTAGTCAAAAAGCCTGTTAATTCAAAAAATCTACCTCCTAAATATGACCCTTATGGAAAGACTTTGGAAAATGTTTCAGAATTAGTAATCAGTAATCTAAGCCCTGCAAGAAAAAGACTTAATGAGTATAATGAATATGAGAAATCATTCCTTAATACTAAGCAAGAAACAGCTCATCCTGAAATTAAATCCCATAATCAAAGTAGCAGGACTTTTAGTCATAATGATGTGATTATGCAGTATCAAAAGATGGTAACTCCAACACAGTCATTTGCATTTAATAACTGTGGAAAACCATTCCTTAAAAAGGGAGGCTTAATTTCACCTAATAGAGCACACAGAGGGGAAAACCCACCTGTATATAATAAAAAGAGAAGAGCAACCAATACTGAAAAAAAACATACCTGCACTGAATGTGGGAAATCTTTCTGCAGGAAGTCAGTATTGATTCTTCATCAGGGAATTCACACAGAGGAAAAACCCTATCAATGTCATCAGTGTGGAAATGCATTTAGGAGGAAGTCATATCTCATTGACCATCAAAGAACTCACACAGGAGAGAAACCCTTTGTTTGTAATGTATGTGGTAAATCCTTTCGCCTAAAGACAGCCCTCACTGATCATCAAAGAACACATACAGGGGAGAAGTCCTATGAGTGTCCACAGTGTAGGAATGCCTTCAGATTGAAGTCACACCTCATTCGTCATCAGAGAACACACACTGGAGAGAAACCATATGTGTGTAATGATTGTGGGAAGTCCTTCCGCCAGAAGACAACTCTTTCTTTACATCAAAGAATTCATACAGGGGAAAAACCTTACATTTGTAAAGAATGTGGGAAGTCATTTCATCAGAAGGCAAACCTTACTGTACACCAGAGGACTCATACAGGGGAGAAGCCTTATATTTGTAATGAATGTGGGAAATCTTTTTCCCAGAAGACAACTCTTGCTCTTCATGAGAAAACTCATAATGAGGAGAAACCCTATATTTGTAATGAATGTGGAAAATCTTTCCGCCAGAAGACAACCCTTATTGCACATCAGAGAACGCACACAGGAGAGAAATCTTATGAATGTCCTCACTGTGGAAAGGCCTTCAGGATGAAGGCATACCTCATTGATCATCACAGAACTCATACTGGAGAAAAACCATATGAATGTAATGAATGTGGGAAATCCTTCAGTCAGAAGACGAATCTCAATCTGCACCAGAGAATTCATACAGGGGAGAAACCCTACATCTGTAATGAATGTGGGAAGTCCTTTCGCCAGAAGGCAACCCTCACTGTACATCAGAAAATACATACAGGGCAGAAATCTTATGAATGTCCTCAGTGTGGGAAAGCCTTTAGCAGGAAGTCATATCTGATTCATCATCAAAGAACTCACACAGGTGAAAAACCATATAAATGTAATGAATGTGGAAAGTGTTTCCGCCAGAAGACAAATCTCATTGTTCATCAAAGAACTCACACAGGTGAAAAACCTTATGTTTGTAATGAATGTGCTAAGTCCTTCAGTTATAAGAGAAATCTGATTGTCCATCAGAGAATTCATAAGGTAGAAAATTTGGAAGTGTAATAAATGAAGGAATTTCTTCGTGAACTCTTTCCAAGCTATTGTAATCCTTTAATTTTCTTTTAAAAACCTGCTTAAACACTTTCATGTTATTTTAATCACAAATGTAATAATAGTTATTAAAGTCACACTACATAGCTATATATTGTTTCAAAGCATGAGAAAAGGATGTGATCATTGAACTTAATCATCTATAAAACTAAAGCTTTTAGCTGTTCCTGCTGATTCAAATGACTTATTAAAAAATATTTATATAATACCCAACTAACAGAATTATCAGAATTAAGCTCTACAAGAGAAGACAAAAGCTATGAACTTTAATTCTCGTTGCATTCTCTATAATAAACTACTTGTTACGTCCCTAAAGATGACTACTTCCCTGAGTTACAGTTTTTGCATGTTTTTAAAATTTGTATATATACATGTCATGAATTATTTTCTGCACTGCTTTATTTCATTGAATGTTTTTAAAGATTTGTACATTATTGCATGTTGGCAGTAGTGTATTTTCTATACTATTCCATTTTAAGAATATACTGCTATTTATCCTATAGTTGGATACTTGTATTTTTTATATAACTTTGTGTTAGGCCTTCTCACTGATCTACATCCTCAGTCTTTTTAAAATTAAAATTTTGTCAAAGGGTCTCATTAAGTTGCCTAGACTCAAACTTGCAACACACTTTCTTGCCTCAGCTGATGGAATTACTGGCATGCTGTAACACAAATATAATAGTAATATTTTAATGTAATAACATTCCTAATGTTAGTTTCTTAGAAACCTCTTCTAACTTCCACAGTGGCTGTACTAATTTATATTCCCACCAGCAATTTAGAAGGGTTGTCAGCCCCCGATTCTCCCATGCATGCTTGCAATCATTTGACATATAATAATAGATTTTGGTTGATTGATTGATTGATGGGGGTCAGGGTCTTGCTTTTGTTGTTCAGGCTGACGTTGAACTTGCTGTGTTGCCCAGACTGGTAAGCAGCTCACAGCCTCAGCCTCCCAAGTTCTGGGATTACAAGAATTTGTCACTACACCTAGCCATGTTTTTTGTGTTCTTGATGATAGTTATTCTGACTGGGGTGAGATGGAAACTCATTGTATGAGGTGTGATAAATACAGTGGGCTGGGGGTTTCGCTCAGTGGTTTTGCCACCTGCCTTCCAAATGCAAGGTCCTAAGTTCAATCCCTGCTATAAAAAAATAAAAAAATAAACAAAAAACAGTGCATGGAGCCAGGGATTTAGCTCAGCAGCATAGCAACTACCTGGCAAGCTTGAAGTTCTGAGTTCAATCCCTAGTACCCCCTCAAATAAATACAGTGCATGGGGGCTGGGGATTTAGCTTAGTGGTGCCACCACCTGCTCTGGAAGCACAAAGTCCCAAGTTGGATCCCCAGAACCAAAAAAGAAAAGGGGGGGAAAAAACCACAAAAAACACTTGGACACCCTGAACTGATACTACAGGAAGTAACAAAATATGAATGAGGCTCTAGAAAAATTCAAAGCAGAAATAATTTCCCAGATGACTACAGAGATGGTGAGCAGAATAAAAGACATGATTAGAGCCTCTAGAACAGAAAGAGATTTTAAAAAATAGGTAAGTTCAGGATCATGATGGAAGCCATAAATCCTCAGCATAGGAAAGAAATGGTAACCATGAAAGAGATTCAAGCTGATGTCAAGGAGATTAAAAACTATTGAAAGTATACACAGCAGACTGAGCCAATCTGAAGACAGAATATCAGATACACAAGACAGGATGGCGGTCAGTGACCATGAAAAGATAGACCTCTTAAAAATAGTAAGGGGGCTGGGCATTTAGCTCGGTGGTTCCACTGCCTGCCTCACAAGCTCAAGGACCCGAGTTCTATCCCCATTATCCCCCCCCAAAAAAAAGGGATCATGAGAGATCAATTCACCATGCCTAGCTCCCAAAAGAAATAATTTTCAGAGTATAGAATTGTATGTTCCTCTTTGAAGTTGTTCATAGTGGCACATTCCTATAATCCCAGTACTTTGAGGCAGGAGGATCGCTTCAAGTTCAAGACCAACCTGGGCTACATAGTGAGTTCAGGACCAGCTTGAACTATATAGTGAGACCATATCTCAAAGAAACAAAGAAAGAATGCTCCTCAAAGGCAAATCCAAAAAATGTAGAAACATAAATGGCTTTCAATAAGCTTTAAGCAAACAAATTATGGTAGATCCATATAATAGAGTACTTTTTTGTTGTTCATTTGTTTTGTTTTGGTACTGGGGATCAAACTCAGGACGTTGCGCTTGCAAGGCAAGCAGCAGCACCACTGAGCTAAAACCCCAGCCCAATAGTACTCTAATGAAGAAGGTATTGATGGAGGCAGGAAAAAAGAATAAGAGAAACACGGAGGAAAAAAGAAAGTGTGAAACAGTAAAGGAGAGGAAGAAAGAGGGAGAAGGGAAAGGGAAGGGAAGAAAGAATGGAAGTAAAGGCAAAAGAAAGGAAAGGATAGTTAAGACTTAGATAGCTGGGCATTGTGGTGTTCACCTGTTATCTCAGAACTCTGGGAGACTGAGGCAGGAAGGTCACAAGCATAAGCCCAGTTTTGACAGATTAGTGAGATTCTGACAACAAAAAATAAAAAGGGCGGAAGATGTAGCTCAGTTCAAAGGCCCTGACATCAGTTTTTAAAAAATGAAAATAGAGTGATAAAGAAAAAGATTTAGCTACTTCTCCTTAGTCTGCTTTCCATAAATAGAATACAGATGTAGCCACACTATACATGTAATTATGTATTCAGTCCTTTTCAGTAAAATTCCATGTTTTTCATCATAAACAACCCATACATGATGTAAAAAAAGCTTAAAATTTTCCTAACTGGCTACACCAGTTTACTTAATTATTCTGTTTTCTTATGCTCATGATTTTTACTGCAAATGTTTTCAACAACCTGTTGATATTTTAATTTCCTTGGGGAAGGAGACTGTATACAAGTTTCAATTTTTGCACATTTAGCTGCAGCCTACTGTTAATGTCAGTAATAAATGGGGTGATAGCAAAGAAAGCAGTGTAAACCAAGTAAAAATAACCCAACATATTTTTTTCAGATATATCTGTCTCATTTATTTTTTTGTTTATTGGTACTTTTTAGGTATACAGTACAGTTACACTCATCATTGGGAATTTATGTGATATATCTTGGTTCTTATTTTTTCCCCATTCCCCTGCCCTCTCTTCAAACCCTCCACCCCTCCCTATTTACAAAGACTTTGTTTCCATTTTTCCCTTTTCTCATATTTTTCCTTTCCCTTCTTTCCTTTCCTTTACTCCTCCCACTTCCCCTTCCCCTTTAGACCTTTTCTTCCTATTTCACATTATCAATTATACATTTTGATCCTTATTTACACTTAGTTTCTCATACCAGAGAAACTTCAGTATTTACACGTGTGTCCTATTTATTTCACTTGATTATGACCTCAGTGTGCATCCATTTAGCTATAACTCTCTAGTTTCTTATTTTCTATGGCTGAGTCATACTCCATTGTATGTATGTGTGTGTATATATATATAT